TATTAAAGAGGGCACGTTCTGCATGGAGCACTGGGTGTTATGCACAAACAATGAATCATGGAACACTACATCTAAAACTAATGATGTAATGTATGGTGATTAACATACAATAAAAAAATTTTTTAAAAAAAGAAAATAAGCCAAAAAAATTGATATTTTGGGTTATTTTAATTTGTATTTCTTTCTAATGAAGTTGAACAGTTTTCATGTTTATTCTTCATTTTAACTTTCATTTGTTGATTGCCCATTTTCTAATGGTTGTATTTTTTTCCTTTCTGATTTGCAAGATTTTTGTAAATTAAGGGTGTTAAATTTTGTTTATTATGTATTTTGCAAATATTTCTACAAGTTTGTTTTTTCATTTTGAAGGAAATGTTTAGAATCAGTGCTTTTTGTGTAAAAATTAGGGCAATAATTTCTTTTTTACCTATAAAAATTTGAAGCAAAATTTAAAAATATGTTAGCATTTGTTAATTTTAAGTTGTAAATAAATGGGTATTTAATTTAAAAATTTTGGGGAGATGGAGTGTTATGCACATGAATTCTATGTAAGGTCTACAGAAAGGGAAACACATTATAAGGGTTATTAGTCAAGTTTATAAATTACATATAGAATTTCTGCTTGTGTGAATAATATGAGGGTGAAGAATTTAACATCTTGTTCACCAGAGCAAGAACTTACTTCTTTTCGAGTCTGCTTCCAAGACTGCCTCTTAGCACTCTAGGTGCCTCCCTCAGAATACTGACCTGAGAGATGCAGGAAATGTGTAAACTGCTATGTTTCTGTTTCCACAGTGAGAGATGATGAAGCTTCTGGATAATCTGTAGGTTGAAAAGTGAAGGTGATCAAATGACCCTTTCTCTTGTATGGGTGGGTATTCATTCACTGGTATATTTCCTTTTTGTTCAAGCCCTGTAGACAGCAGATATCTGCAGATCTCTAAAGACTGGTGTGCTATACCAAAGCATTTGTAATCAGTTGAGATATTCACGTTCCAAGTGTAATCAGGTTGATGTACTATAAAATAAAATTATTTTATTTATAAGCATTATCTGATCTATAATACTGGCAGGTATTAGATAGCTGTGATGACAACTCAACATCATCTGGCTTTAATGGGATGCTTTGGGTCTTGCTACTCACAAAATTACCCTATCTCATGTTTTTTGATTGGACGTAATCAAAATAGCTATTAAAGTACTTTGGTGTTGCTGTGTTTCAAAAAGGAATGAGGCCTCTAGAATGTAAGAGGCTTTGGAATTAACAAGCAACATCATTTATGACACAAATGTTTTTGTTTCCAATCTGAGCATTTTGGGGAAGTAAAGTATACTCTGAATCAGCTTGCTTAATGTACAGATAATCACTTTCTTTATACTCTTTGCATAGTAATGTACTTGGCAGTTTGAGATTTAAAAAAAGTTGCCAGGGGGAAAGGAAAGTGGGGGTGGAATAGGGGGACCCTAGGCATGTCTTGTTCCATGAACACAATGAGATAACTATCAAATCATTCTAAATACCCCAGAAGTAGAACTGAAGACTGACAGAACAAACTCCACAACTAAAGGAAGAGAAGAGGTCACATCGAAAAAGGTAGGAAGTGGGGAGACAAGGTTTGGGGGAGAAACAGATCACGGGTGCTGCAGAGGGGAGGGAGCCATGGTCATGGAGAAGGGCAAGAGAGAGAGAGGCACACAGGGGAATGTACAAGAATGTTTCCCCAAAGCCATTGGCTTGGAAAAGGGGAGGGGCTGAATTTCATGAGTTCTTGCAAACAGCAGAGTTTAAAGCCTTGAGTTTTAAAGGTCAGCAAGCTTGGCTGGGACAGAGCCTGGAGGGCACTTTGCTGCTCCTGGAGAGAAGGCAGGCAAACAATGCAGGGGCAGAGGGTGTGTAAACAATGATCTGAAGAACACCTGGGGCACATAGAAGGGAGATTATTCACTCTTCTCAGAGCACCTCCCTGAGAGCCAACATCCACAGAGATGCCTCTCCAGGACAAAGGAGCTGGCCTGCACCATTTTCCTCCCCTGCCCATCAGCATTAATACAGAGCCACCTGCGGGAAACACAGCAGTGCCAACACTGGCTGTCTAACTTGCTTACACCAAGCACCACACCCCTGCACACTGGTAGGACTGCCCTTCTCAGTCATACTTGCCTCAGTCCCAGTGCGGTGAGCCCCTCCCCAAGAAGACCAGCACAAACCCTTGCCCAGACCATGTCTCCCAACCAGAGAGTTCTGCAGGGTCTCAGTTCTGGTGGAGGTGGTGTCAGACCTCACTTCTCAAGAAGACCAGAGCACACCTAGTTAAAACTCACCTCATTCAGGACAGGAACCAAACACTGCCCACTGGAGGTAAGGAGAGCCTCTGCAGATGACTGGCCTGAAGGACAGAGAAGCCTAAACACAACAGCAGAGTACACGAAGCACAAATCAGAGACAATCCCTGAAGGCCCGGGCCCTGGGCACTATATGACCCCTTTGTCTTAAGGCCATTACATTCAGGAGCAGGAGATATAACTGGCTTTTCTAACACAGAGATGAAAGTAGAGACTTAGACAAAACACAAAGATGGAGGAATTTATCTTAAATGAAAGAACAAGATAAGGCCATGGCTAGAGATGTAAGCAAAACAGATATAAATAACATGCCTGATGGAAAATTTGAAGCAACAATCATATGAATACTCACTAGGCTTGAGAAAAGAATGGAAGATATCAGGGAATCCCTTACCACAGAGATAAAAGTGTTAAAAAACAATCAGAAAAGAAGAATGCAATAAATAAGATTGGAAACAGGCTCGATGCAATGAACAGCAGGCTGCAAGAAGCAGAGGAATGAATCAGTGACCTGGAAGACAAAAGAATGAAAAGTAATGAAGGTGAACAAAAGAGAAAGAAGAATTATGCAACACAAGAATAGACTTAGGGGACTCAGTGACTTTATCAAACACAGTAACATTCATATTATAGGAGTCCCAGAAGAAGAAGAGAGAGAAAAGGGGGCAAAAAATTTATTTGAAGAAATAATAGCTGATAATGTATCTAACCTGGGGAAGGAACCAGATATCCAGATCCAGGAGGCACACAAAATTCCCATCAAAATCAACAAAAGCAGGCTAACACCAAGACATTTCATAATTACATTTGCAAAATATAGTGATAAAGAAAAAAATCTTAAAAGCTACAAGATAAAAGAAGTCCTTAACTTATAAGGGAAAAACCATAAGGCTAGCTGGGAATGGCTCAACAGAAACTTGGCAAGAGACAAGGGTGTGGCATGATATATTAAAAGTGCTGAATGGGAGAAATTGGCAGCCAAGAATACTCTATCCAGGAAGGCTATCATTCAGAATAGAAGGAGAGATAATGAGTTTCCCGGAAGAACAAACACTAAAGGGGCTCATGACCACAAAACCAGCCCTGCAAGAAATATTAAGGGGGACTCTTTGAGTGGAGAGAAAAAAACCAAAAGTGACAAAGACAAAAAAGGAGGGGTGCCTGGGTGGTGCAGTAAGTTGAGCATCTGACTCTTGGTTTTGGCTCAGGTCATGATCTCAGGGTTGTGAGATGGAGCCCTGTGTTGGGCTCCATGCTCAGCGGAGTCTGCTTAAGACTCTCCCTCTGTCCCTCCCCTCCATGCTCTCTCTAAAATAAATAAATAAATCTTTAAAAAAAATAAGGATCAGAGAAAATTTCTAGACACAATGATAAAACAAGTGATAAATTGGCATTAAATACATATCAATAATTACTCTGAATGTAAATGCACTAAACACTCCAATAAAAACACATAGGGTGTCAGATGGATAAAAAACAAGACTTATCTATTTGCTGCCTACAAGAGACTCACTTTAGACCTAAAGACACCTGCAGATTGAAAGTGAGGAGATGGAGAAAAATTTATGTCACAAATTGATGTCAAAAGAAAGCTGGAGAGAAATACTTTTTTAAAAGATTTATTTATTTATTTTAGAGAGACAGAGGTGGGGGAGGGACAGAGGAAAAGAATCTCAAGTAGACTCCTCACTGAGCATGGAGCCTGACATGAGGCTAGATCTTATGACCCTGAGATCATGACCCAAGCCAAAATCAAGAGTCAGATGCTTAACCAACTAAGCCACCCAGGTGCCCTGAGAGAAGTACTGATGTCACACAAACTAGACTTTATTTTTTTCAAGGTGTATATATTTATTTTAGAGAGAGCATGAGTGGGGAGGGGGTTGGAAGGGCCATATGGAGAAGGAGAGAGAGAATCCCAAGCAGACTCCCCACTGAGCGAAGACCTGATGTGGAGCTTGATCTCGGGACTGTGAATCATGACCTGAGCTGAAATCAAGAGTCAGACGCTTAACTGACTGAGCCACCCAGGTGCCACCAGACAAACTAGACTTTAAAACAAAGACTGTAACAAAAGAAGAAGGGCCCTTTATAATCATAAAGGGGACAATCCAACAAGAAGATCCAAAAATTGTATGTATTTCTGCACCCAACATGGGAGCACCCAAATGTATAAAATAATCAATAACAAACATAAAGAAACTCATTGATAATAATACAATAATATTAGGGGACTTTAACATCCCACTATCAATGGACAGATCATCTATACAGAAAATAAACCAGGAAACAATGGTTTTGAATGACACACTGGACCAGATGGACTTAACATATATATTCACAACATTCTATCCTAAAACAGCAGCATACAATCTTTTCAAGTGCATATGGGCACACCAGAATAGACAACATAACCAGGTCACAAATCTGGCCTCAAAAAATACAAAGAGATTGAAGTGAAAGCATGCAATCTTACTGACCACAATGCTATGAAAGTAGAAGTCAACCACAAGAAACAAATTGGAAAGACCACTAATACATGGAGGTTAAACAACATGCTACTAAACAATGAATGGGTCAATGAGGAAATTAAAGAGGAAATTAAAAAATACATGGAAACAAATGAAAATGAAAACATGACAGTCCAAAACCTTTGGGAGGTGATCACAAGCAATTGCAAGAGGGATGTGTATACCAATAAAGGCCTAATTCAAGAAGCAAGAAAAATCTCAAATCAACAACCTAACCTTACACCTAAAGGAGCTAGAAAAAGAACAACAAATGAAGCCTAAAGCCAGCAGAAGGAAGGAAATAACAAAGATTAGAGCACTAATAAATGATATAGAAACTAAGAAAATAACAGAACAGATCAATGAAACCAGGAGGTAGTTCTTTGAAAACATTAATAAAATTGACAACCCTCTCAGACTTACCAAATAAAAGAGAAAGGACCCAAATAAATAAAATCACAAATGAGAGAGGATAAGAAACAACCAACACCACAGAAATCCAAATAATTATGAGAATATTATGAAAAAAATTATGCCAACAAACTGGGCAATCTGGAAGAAATGGATAAATTCCTAGAAACATATAAATTACCAAAACTGAAACAGGAAGAAATAGAAAATTTGAACACACCAATAACGAGCAAAGAAATTGAATCAGTAATAAAAAAAATCTCCCAACAAACAAAAGTCCAGGGCCAGATGGCTTCCCAGGGGAATTCTACCAAACATTTAAAGAAGAGTTAATACCTATTCTTCTCAAACTATTAAAAAAAATAGAAATGGGAGGAAAACTTCCAAACTCATTCTATGAGGCCAGCATTACCCCGATACCAAAATCAGAGGGAGACACCACTGAAAAAAAGAACTACAGACCAATATCCCTGATGAACATGGAGGCAAAAATTGTCAATAAAATACTAGCAAACCAAACCCAACAATACTTTAAAAAAATAATTCACAATGATCAAT